TACTCAATGAGCGCCACAACATCACTTATCAGCTGGTCCATAGCGCACAAGTATTTTCTTCAGTTCAGCAACTACATTTGCTCACCCGAAAGGCTCCACAAGCTGGCATCCGAATTCCTCCACAAAATCATGGCACCTGACGTGATGGACGGCTCCCAAGTAGGTGTCGACGCGCAACTGGGGAACTGGAGGAATTTTGCCTTTTACTTTGGCGAAGCCCGCGTGGAGTTAAAATATCTTATGTCGCGATCCAGCAAACTGGATGCTGGTACAGTCATCAGCGTGACGATCACGAGAACCACACTACTTCGCGCATATTCACATCTTGTCATTGATGATGCTGATGGAGGCATGTTGTCGCCTTTGGCTCACAGAATGCTCGGCAAGAAACTTGTCATGCGTGGCTCGGTGCTCTTCGGTTGGGACAACACCACAGACAAAATAGTGAGCTTTCACTCGCAGGCGGATATGATTACCCCAATGCTGAATTTGCTAGGCAATTTGAAGGATGTGTCTTGCGTATTCTCCAAGGCCCGAATCACACCCGAATGTAAATTCGTCTAAGGGTTAGTCATTTAGATTTCAAGGTTGAAAAAACTTACTCCAGAAGAAGCGACGCGGATCGCTGTTAGACTACAGTTATAACATTTTATGGACCAACTTTTGAATAAACTGCTTGTTTTAGAGGTGTGGCACCCCAATAGTTATCACCTTAGTTTACGAGTCCTATTGACTTTGAAATGCAGAATTCTTTCGTTATCGCGAATCAATTGAATACAGTAGGGTACGATAGATTGACGAGCAATGAACTGTGTACTGCCAAATGCAACCGCCAGACACTGGGGCGAATATTTTAGATGCGGTTTCTGGATTGGGAGACCAGACACTGGCTGAGAACGATAAGGAAGACCGTGCTCGCGTTGGGACGTGTTGGCCGATTGCGGAACTGGTTTGATCGCAGGTGTGGATTACACTAGATACTTCAGATTCCAGAGAATGTTGTAGTTTCTTTTTCCTATGTCGGGCTTCTAGATTGATAAAGGTCATTCGCCTGAGATCACTTTGTCTTTGTTTCTGCGTTGGCTCCGTTAATTTATAAAGAATACCACACAGTATACAAGTATGCGTGAAAAATATTCTTAAACTTTTCACGCATACTGGTCTTTAGCCAGGAGTTATGATAGTATCAGGATATCAATGTTATCGAAGAGTTGTAGAATCAGCACCGATGCTTACTTTAGTTTACCGACGATATTCAGTGGAGTCATCAAATCACCAATCAGACTCTATACACACACCTACGGACAATAATTGCGACTAAAAACGCGTTCAAAGTTCGCTAGAACAATCCACCTCAATATATACACAGTACCCTCGTCAGCAGACACAGTTTAGGCATCATCTGCGTAAAACAACAGTCGGTCTTGTTCTGTGCATGAATTCGAAAGTGTCAACTTACATGCCGTATGACGACATCGTTAACATCATTGATTGCGACTCAGAAAATCACATTCATCAAAGTCTCTCACTGGTTTGCCAAAAGAACTGCTGTTGATGATATCCCGATTGTCCGTGGTTCATTGAGCCTAACTTTGTGCCGAAGCACTACCAGTGCTTCGGTACAAAGTAAACGTACAGCCCGACCGGGATTGATTCATGTTTGTGTTTACACCCAGTTTCATGCAATACAAATATCAAGTGAATCCATTTATATTTTGTCACATTCGCATGGATTTTTACGAGCTATCGAGCTGCGGAGGGAAAATCATGATCGCATTGACTTAGAAAGAAAGAAATTTCTGGGTTCTGTCTATCTGATGCGTTGTATGTACCTGGCCCGCGTTGTTGTTGTTGTAGTTGTTGTTTTCGATACATTAACTGATCCGGATCCCGCTTTCATACTCTTATACTACAGCGCTATATTAATTTACATACTAGGCAGTAAAATGACTATTGAAAAAAATATATGCAAAGCTACACTAATTCGATGGGTTAGCGTTCATGCATATCCTTGGATATGCCATCTCACGTCGCTTTCCTCCTCGACTGGCACGCAGTATTGCAGGGGCATACCCTGCTCAATCCGTCATGTCCTATTCGTACTGGTTGGTAAAAGAGTCCGGCCAGTTCGAAGCCGCGGCAACAGAGGATTCCCTTGGAGGGTGGAGTGGCTATCGCGATTACCAAAAAGCCGAACTGAGCAACACTCAACTTAGAACAAGTCTGATGGAAGGTTCCAGACCAAGATTCTCCACTTTGTTGAAAATATCGGCGAGAAACGGAGAAAATAATTCGGTGAGTACAGTAGCTTTTTTTCCGGGAACGAAAGATCTCACGGCTTTCTGGATGTTGCATGTAA